AAAAAAAAAAAAAAAAAAAAAAAAAAAAAAAAAAAACAGAAGTCGATAAGCGGTCAAGCTGGATGCGCATTTCATTCAGGAAGGTAGTAGTACTTTCTGACTGATTGAGAGGGGATGCGTGAGAACTCACTGCTAGCTGCAAAATCTCATTCCTCTTCTTCTCCCCGCCGCTGAAGCCTTCGTTCACATTGCGTTGCAGATAGCTGATATCCATCTTTAGACTTTCCAGCTTTGGCGTCAAGAACGCGTAGAACTGCACAGAACAAGCTCGCACGCCACGACCGAAGCAAAACACACGACAATGACTCGCTTCGTTGGAAGTTTGTTTTGAGTTCGCTTTGAGATCGTTTTGCGTTCGTTGATAACCGACCGGCATTTGCAGTCCAAAGCAAAACACAACAACAACAACTCGCGCTTCGTTGTAAGTTCGTTGTAAGTTCGTTGTGAGTTCGTTGAAAGTTCGTTGTAAGTTCGTTGTAAGTTCGTTGAGAATGTGCATGCGTGGTTCTTGGAACTTTGCGGCACTCCTTTTGCTGCTAGTTTCCCATTCCAAATTTTCCGATCAAGAGCAACTATCCGCTCAACAAATTTTAAATTTTAAATGTTAGCGGGAAAAAAAAGGTACTACGCTTCCATTTGCCAAGCCATGTGCAAGTTATACTTGACAGCGGACATTTTGCGGGAGACAGGTATGTGCCCATTTTTCACTTTTTTTGAAAGGCGTTCGCGCTCAATCTCCCCGAGGAAAAAAGTACACAAAATCATGATCTTTAAGTATTTAACCACTCAAGGCCCCCGCAGATCCCTTCCCCCCCCCCAACAAAGACAAACACACAAATGAGCGCACACACAAACATGAACAGACGAATGTGCGCACAGATACACACAACACACACGTGTGGACACACAAAAAGACAGGTAGAGATATATACAGACATAAAGAGGGCACAGAGAGAGAGAGAGAGACAGACAGACACAGAGAGAGAGAGAGAGGTCAAAATAGTGCTCACAGACATATCACAGATATGTACAGAGAGAGAGAGAGAGAGGGAGAGAGAGAGAGAGGTGTCAAAGAAGTGCTCACAGATATGTACACAGAGAGAGAGAGAGAGAGAGAGAGAGAGAGAGAGAGAGAGAGAGAGAGAGACCACGGAAAAAAAACTGGTGGTTGATGTCGCAGATATACATGTCGCAATCTTAGCATTTATTGTCTTGCTGCTAGTTCTGATCAGTATGAAATTTTACTATGCATGCTCGAATTCCTAGTCTGCAACGACACTAGGAAACGCACTGCGCGGCACAAAAAAACAACCGGCGTGGGCCTCCTTTTGGCTAACGCCGCCAGCCGAGGTTCCAAAGCTGCCCCAGCATGCAGGCTGCCACTCTGAAAAAAAATGTGTGTGAACTTACGCATTGCACTTTGAGCGTTCATTTGGTGCCGCCGAGGTTTACTAGTGACCGCTACGAAGTTACGCATTGCACTTTGAGCGTTCATTCTGATCACTATGTAAGTTGAGCTTAAACCACAAGTACACGGACGGCTCCAGCCTTGCAGTCCGAAACTTGTCGCCACAAGAACAGGAGGCCGAAATGTCAAACGCTGGGCCCGCCGTTTATAAATCCAGCAACAGAGACGGGGGGCAGGAGGGAGGGGCGG